TGGCTACTTTGCGCATGTGTTTGAAACTAGTGAGATTTTTTTCTTTTTTGACCTTTCTTTTTTGAAAAGAAAAAAAGAGATTAGTTTTGATGAGATTGTAGTCATCAATAAGCCATCTTATCGCACCATTTCTTTGAGTCTTAAGCTGCTAGGTTGTATTTTGCAGCAACACGTGCATGTTTATGTAGTAAAACCACGCTGCAGCTATATAGTTATAGCACGAATAGGTAGGCTCTACCGGAGTAGGACCGCGCTCTCACAGAATACCAGCGTAAAATAGCAGCTTCATGTTGCTGTGCCTTTTTACAGGTAATGAGGCAATCTATCTTAGTCCTCACAGGTGACAACGCATTTGCATTATGATTTTTAATCGAGGATAAATTTAGATTTATATGGGCCACAGCATCACTTACGATCAGGTTGACTGTTTGCCCGTTTGTCACCCTTATCCTATAAAAATCCTGCCCAAATATGGCAGCAATATTCCATGTACGACTAGACTTGTGCTTATTATATTATCTATTTCTGCCGCTAAGCAGCAGTACATCATTTTATATTTTGGTCTACTTCGGTCGCAACTGTTACAGTTAGATGCTGCCAGACAATTCAAATATACGAGTAGTCTTAACTTCAAAACAAAAACTATTTTTTATTGCTCCTGCTTTATATTCTTTAAATATTATGACTACAACTAAAAAATTCTATTCGTTAATTACGAGTACATGTGTAGATAAAATAGCCCGCCATTATTACATAATACGTTTACCTTTTACAAGAATCACAGTAGTACCTATATTTTATTTATGTTCTAAAATATTTATAAATTAAAAGTAATGCAATTAAAAGATTATATCATTTATAATACTATCTAAAAAAATGTTCTACCCTATATATTACATAACATAGTTTCATAGTTTTTGTGAACTTTGTATTTTCTTCATACAGTAACAAACGCACCTATTTGTTAGCTGTCAATATTCTAATCCTACTGTCATGTTTATATAATCATTTTATCGGTCTACTATCTTTACTTCGACTGTTGTACCTGCGGGTGGTAACATCCGGTTGGTTGACGGTCAAGACTACGACCTTTAACGAAAAATCCATTCCAAATATGCCTTCCCAATTTTCCAGACTGGTGAGATAAAACAAACAACTCCAAGGTGAACACAGACAGCAATCGCGATAAGTATGAACTCCTCTAGGAGTCAAGGAATGAAATCTTCAAAATAATATTTGCTATCTGGTTTTCTAGAAAATTTCTTTAGATGATACTTCGAATAAATTCAAAATACGTGTCGTATTATCGAAGCTGGCATGTTTTTATAGGGTAGGGTGACAAACGAGCACACAGTCCACCTGATGGTAAGTGGTTGCTGCGGCTCATAGACATCTACATCTATCCCCGATTGTAAATCGAAATGCAGATGCGTTGTCACCCGTGAGGACTAAGGTCCGGACTCCGGTTCTCTACACGCACCTTACAAAACACAGCAGCATCAAGCTACTATTTTACGCTGGTATTCTGGGAGAGCGTGGTCCTTCCCCGGTCGAACCAAGCCATTAGTGCTACAACTATATTACTAATATAACTGCAGCATGGCTCTAATACGTATAAAATTTTAAGTGTTGTTTTGAGTGTGTTAGGCTGAGTTAAGTGTTTGCATTTATGTGCGATTGAGGGAGGTAGGCGGGTGCTGTTTAAAGTTTAGATATATGTGCGCACGATTTTAAGGAGTAGCTAAGAGAAGATAAAGTTTATTCTGTACACCACATTTCCCTTTTATTGATTCTTTAGCCATCACTTCAGTTTAAAATACTTTGAAAGATTTTTTTATTAATAAAATTAAATATAAAAAAATTATAAGTGACATTCACCCACAATAAATTAAGGAAAACAGAACGCAGCTAATTGGTTCTTAATGTAACTTAGTAGAGGATAACTTATACCAGGGTACCTCTAAAGACTTGGACACATCTTTGGACCAATACTAGTGAAGCTTCTATCAAACAAAAAATGAGAAGCCGCCACATTTTAGCATTGAAGGTTCTTGAGTGAAAAACACAAAAATCCCAATAATAAGACAATAGAAGTCACATAGACGCGTGACCTTGTCGCCGCTATTATGTGTTGATGAACATAATTCACCATTTTGTGATTTATTTGCGATTCATAGATTCATTTTATTATAAATTTATAATGGTGAACTGCAGCATAATTAGTTGTAAGAACTCATCAGAGACGTGTATTTGAACTAATAAAAGCATAACATTTCATCGGTAACTTAATTATTTACTAATTATCATTATTTTAACTAACTTACATCTAGATGAATACTTTACTATGATATTTACCTTTGTAAACTTTCATTTATTACTTTTCGTATTGTACAATTACCATTGTTGTTTTTGTTCTACGTTGACAAACTCGCCAAGCAATGTAATGCGAAACATTAGATATCATTGTGTATTGTGCATATGTTTATAATACGGTAAGATGTGGCGACATCGGTTTTGAAAGTAATCGGGTGCTAATTCATTTCTATTGTTTTATTATTACTATTTCTTTAGTGAAAGAGGATACTGCTGATAACATAGGATTATAACGTAATCGCAATTTATAAGCTTCGTGAGGCTTATGATCAACACGCTATATTTTTTTCAGACAAAAAATACTTTTAACTTTTTAAAGACATCGAACTGTACAAACATTGAAAGAAATTAAGTATCATTTTCATTAAAGAAGTCACAGATTTTTTTATTGAATTTCTTAAAAGTGTTGTACGTCCCCCCGTAAGTTGTCGGATATCAATTATGTGAATTATGAATATTTAGGTGAATTAAAAAGATCACCGACGGAAACATTTTTGATAAGTTGGATCACCCACTTGCTCATTATCGTAGCCAGCTAAGTTAAAAAGTGTTCATATCATATTAATCTTAGCGTTAGCAACAAGTAACCAGAAACAATAGAGATAATGCACATGTTTACACTACATATAATAAAGGATATGTGTAGCATGTTTGGTGTGGACTGTGAGATACATGTCATGATTATTTACTTCCTGCCAATTATGATAATAATTTTTCATGCGTTTGTAAATCGATTAAGTCTAGATTATTGATTTATACTTTTGTATAAATCACATAGACTGTGCAAAGCAAGAAACTATCACAATAGAGTACTAGTAAATATTCTTACACAATGCAGAAAACTTTAAAGTTAAACGAAAAACGAAAATTTCTTAATACATTGACTATCTGTTGACTAAACTGATTATAATGTAATATTTATGCAGTTTGGTTACATTTTGGTACTGTGTGTGTTATAAGGGACTATTGGAATTGTTAGAAAGATTCAATGGGTTCCTATGTATGGAAATATAACTATCCCATCTATTCTAGCAGTAATATAGCTAATAGAGTTATAGACACAAGACGCTGGTACCGCATTCAATAATTCAACTAACATGTGTAGCGATTAAGGTAAATCATTTCACTACGGGAGAAGTTCATTTACAGCCGTATAGTTTAAAGTCTTGATGAAGAACCCCTAGACATGGTTAAAACTTAACAAATATGTAACATTGTCCTGCAGGCTTCAACTGAGGCTAGCCATCGGCGCAATATTGGATTATAGTGTACGAGTGTGTGTGTAAGCACAGGTCCACTCTGTATTCCCTCACTCTCATAGTCCATTGAGATGATAATCCGACAAACCGGAGGAAGATCAGGCGCAAGATCTACGGTTTTTCATATTTTCTGAGGCACGTTTGCAACAACTCCATTTGCCGACTCCGGACTGCTACTAGAATTACGAAGACTTGACTAACGAAGCAGTCAATCAAATATGCACAAGTATTTACTGTCAGCAATTTTTTTCCTTTTAGAATAGCAGATTATTTCTTTTTTCATAGTCCCCGTAAAAGTAATAACAAATTTAAAAATAAATTGGATGCAGTTACGCAATAAGGACCTAATCTATTCCCTGGTCAAATATAAAAGTAAAGAACGTAAAGTTACAGCCTGTATACGTCCCACTGCTGGGCACAGGCCTCCCCTCATTTCTGAGAGGGCTCAAATATAAGTTATATATTATTTCTAAATAGTACTTAAGACCTGTACTCTCTTCTTAGAGTAAAAACAACTCAAGTGAAAATTGTAGCCGATGGAATTATTAGAAATAAATAATTAAGTAAATAAATAAATTTTATGCGTGGTAAAGCCATGCTGCAGATATAATAGTAGTATAGTTGTAGTTGCACGAATGGGTCAGCTCTACCGGGGAATGAACACGCTCTCACAGAATACCAGCGTAAAATAGTAGCTTAATGCTGTTGTGTTTCGTATGGTGAGTGTAGAGAGCCACAGACTCTGTTTACTGGAAACGAGACATTCCTTTCTAAGTCTTCACGGGTGGCAACGTATTTTGGTTTGTAGTCGAGGATAGATGTAGATGTCTATGGGCCACAGCAACCATTTACCATCAGGTGGACTGAGTGCACGTTTGTCTCCCTATAGAAAAATGAAAGTCTACTACTGAATATCTATCCAAACTTCAAATATCAATATCTTCGTTCTAGTTTTTATAAGTTGGATTTCTTTTGCGTAACGACGTCCAAATAAACTTTAAAAAGCATTTAACTATCGTATATATAAAAGAAATATACCCACTTTAGGCTTCATGTAAAGTATATAAAAGTAAGAATACTATCTTTAAACATTATGGCCAACCGTTACGGTTACAACCTATCGGAAGTCCTTATCGATAATAGGCCATCTCCACGGATTGCCTCACAGGAAGGGTAGGTATTTGCCATTAAAATTGGCCATATTAAATAAAATAAAACTGCGAAATTTGAGTGATGCTTGTATCTCATTTATTTTTAAAAAAAGCAAATCATTGTGTTATTTATATTAAAAATCTCATACATTTATTTATAGAGAATCAAGAGGACTGTATAATACATAAATTATTTAAATATATTATACAATTAAATTTATTGCAACTTCAGAACGATGGCCTCGTATCCAGCAACAGGTAGAGCAGACGCGTCGAACATATCACTGAAATCAAAATGAATACTTTTTATCTTTGTCATCAATTAACGTAATTGATAATTACATCTTCGGTATCAATAAACGTTATTGACAACTATAACAACAGAAAGAAAACATTGAAATGTTTAATTCCTGTTGTGACTGCATTCTGTTAGATAGCGTTGCTATAGCGATCAGGTTTTTTTTGTATTCTAATATACTAGCGCTGTCAATCTAAAAGTAAGTATATGTTTTGGCTCCTAGTAATAACTACGAAAAAAGGAGGATATTGAATTTAGCAGTATATATGAATATGTACTATATACTAAGTTTGTTTGTCTGTTCATTGATAATTTCAAATAATTTGAACGATGCGTCTTATCCATAGAGTTCTAGAGAGAATATATACACCTACATCCATCCTCGATTAAAAATAAAAATCCAAATGCTTTATCACTCGTATGGACTAAGATGGACTAAGGATGCCTATTACCAGTGGAGCCTATGGAAAAATACTCGAAGTAAATAGAATATTTAACCAGACCGGTACTAACATTTTGAGTAAAATATATCTTGATAACTTTCAGATCTTATATAATCTTACCCTTCATATATCATTTATAGAAATAATGCTTAAAGCTAACATAACTTCTAATTAAAATAATTACTTAGACTTTTTTTTACTTTTATATAATAATATTACTTTGTTTTTAACACATTCACACAATGTATGCTTAATAAAATATGACCGTAAAAATATATATTAACATATTATATTATAAGCTAATTATTTCGGTATACATCGCTAAGCTAAGCAAAAAAGCTCGACAAATTGACAAAAAAATTAAAGTAACTCACCCCTCATTTTTCGGTGACTGAATACTCCTGATAACAACTGAAACGTTGCCAGAAACGTTTTCAAAGTAAGTCAAGTCAACGACGTATTCAGTGTCCCTCATATTCACAACTACCAGGTAAGTCTCCCCGTTATACCACCTAAAATGCATGTAATAATTTTGAATAAAATTAGCTTTTGCGGAATTTATCACAGTTAAATTAATTAAAATTGCATATGTTTTTGAGCAATTACTCATTTTTACAAGAGCATTAAGAAGCTTTTCACATTAATTTAGAAAATAAAGTAAACTCAACACGACAAAATGCGGAAAATTTGTATTAGTACAGCCTATAAAAACCCAATCTTGAACAAAAGTCTCTACCATAGAGTGTATTTTGCCATACTTACCACGCTTGGAAAGGCAGGTCGTTAAGTTTTTTAATAACTTGAGTTGTTACCTAAATGACGCTAATGCCCATCTCCTGTTTCAATTTCCCTCCGTCGCGCGATATATATTCTTACACCACCAGTATACAGTTCATTTTTGACTGTTATGATTGCTTAAATATATTAGTAATGCATATTCATGTACAAGACTTTACCTTCATAAATCATAACCCTCAATAAAAATGGAATAACCCTTACCTTTTGCGCAGTTGATAAGCTCTGACTAATGAAAAGGAAAGAGGGTGTAAAGAAGAAAGAACATAGCATTTTCTCCAAGCGCTTACTCAACTATCTCTGTAAATAAACATAGGCGCTCCCAGACAGACGCTGATGACAGGCGAGGCTGTAGCGATCGATTGATCGTAGAAAACGTTTTCAATTTTCCTAAATCAAAATCCCACTGACTGTGATGTAAGCATTTGGCCTGCCCAGCATGGTGAGTATATAGGAGAATACCGGTGGGAAGACATAATCATCAATATCATCAATATTTTTATTTTTATTTAATTTATATTACTTTGACGCCAGTGCAACAAGTTAAGACAGACCGAAGTACAGTTGGGTTACATTTTGCAACTATTTTTTCGTAATGGAAGTACATAAATGTAACTATAAGTGCCTTCAAAAGCGGATTACGATTTGCAAGTGGCCCATTTTAAATAATGGATGGGTAATATAGCAGCAGAGGAGGCATTGTAGCAATTGTAATATCAAGTTCAACTAACCTTTAGAATTAATGAACATTTACCTTCTAAAAACATAAACGTCGTTGTTTAAAGCCAAAGAGTCGTAACGCCCGTATCGAAATACTTTTTCTTGACGAAGATCGGCTAAAGCTTGATAAACTTTCAAATGAGATCTCGTAGCGGCTTTTTGAACTTCCACATTCAAAGTTTCATAACCTTCTGCTACTGGTAGCCATGTCTTGTCAGCAGTTGAGAATCCTACAAATATATTCATAGCATAAAATTTCATTTTTTTGCTCTTTTTTTTGGACTACGGAAAATCACAAGCTCCACATTCTAGTTCTTACATAAACTAGAATGTGGTATAAATATTTTAATTAAAAACTGCATCCCGTATTGAATTTAAGGTTCTCCTGAAGTGTATTTCATAAAAAAAAATAATAAAATACATATGTAACATATAATATACATAACTCGTTGAATTGAAATGTCCTCTAGTTAGCAGCAATCAGCTAAAAGTTTTCATTTCAGTAGATAGTTTGCATTCGCAATCGCTAACAAATTTTTATGATGAAAAATCCAATCACTTTAATACTAATAGCATACCAGCATTTTTTTCTGCATTCCATTGGAATGGCGTACGTTCCGGGTCTCTCGAGCTTTTGATGAAATTGAGAGGGTCATTTGTATTACATCCAGAGGGATCTACGCTATCTTCCCAGCTAACGTATCCATCTAACATGCCAATTTCTTCTCCCTATAATTTATAAAGTGTAAGAATTTAAATTTCTTCTTTCTCAATAAGCTTTTTCTAAAAATTTTTTTGAAAGCGCGTGATAAAATTGAGTTTATTAAGACAATGACTTCGTAAACAAACAATTCTGTTGAACGACTATGGTAGTCATGGCGCGTTCTTGCGATGGTGGTGGTGATTTAGAGTGATTTTATTATCAGGAGGATCAGGATCTTCAAACGCAAAAAGAATAAAAGGAATTGACGAATTTGGATGCAATATATCTAGCAAGGCGAAAGCAATCTTTATTGTGAGTGAAGGTTCCTGGCTCTGACGTGATTTCGAAATACTTTCAATCTACCTTCATCGCGCTGTAAAGTGAAATAAAAAAATTGTATTCGACAATTCATATCGGCTAAAATTTTAAGATATTGCTCCAGATTGATCTACTAACTGCTCCAAAAATTACTATTATGACTGCATCTTTACTACTCTTTTCTACTCTGATAAATGAATGTTGTTTATTTTATTTCAGTAAACCGTGTTAAACATAAAGATTTCTTTACCTCAAATAAAATCATAACGTAAATTAATTTCAATTATTTTTGTAAAACTTGTACGTTGCGATACATTCATTTCTACTTACCATATAAGTTACACCAACTCCAGGAAGTAATAAAACTATCATGTTAATTCCGTCAACCAATGATGAACCGTATCGGGTCGCCATGCGACTGTTATCATGATTACCAACCTATGAGAGAGAAAAATACGATATGTAAGTACACAAGATTCTCAATATTTAGATAATAGCGAATTGTTTATATTTGCGATAGTACTCACCACCCAGTTAGCTACTTTATCTACTGGCTTATAAGTCAAAAATTTGTCTACAGCTCGCTTAATATCAGCGGCCGATGAAGATCCATCTACGTCGGTTATTAAATCAAAATTGAATGGTATTTGAGCTCCCTTTCTCTCACCTTCACCAAAGTATCTCACAACGTTTTGAACAGTGGCGTACACTTCAGTCATCATTACCCTAACAAGTCCGTCCTGTGCTGAGAATTCATCAAATACGTCACGCCACTCATAAACCATGTAATAAGTTTCATTTTGATTCATCGTGTAAATATGCGAGAGATAGTTATGTGACTCAGGATCAACATCAACTATGCCTGACAACGGCTCATCGGGATACACTCCACCGAAAAGTTCTTTATTGACTTCAAACAAACAGTATACTGCGTCAACTCTGAAACCTGCTACACCTTTATCCAACCAAAATCGTATAATATTCTGAAAGATAAGAATGAGTAAAAGTTTTTCGTAATAAATAAACGTTATGAAATTGCTATTAACATAAAGATACGAACATACAAAATAATACGACATTACACTAAAGCATATTTTTTTAATCAATTATTTACCTTCATTTCTTCAACAACATCCGGATTACGGTAGTTTAAATCAGGTTGTCCAATAACGAATTGATGTAGATAATATTTACCAACTTCTTCTCTATATTCCCAAGCACTTCCTCTAAAATGGCTTATCTGTGAAACATTTGACTTTTAAATTTTTAAAGGTTAGTTAATAATTCTTTTAAAACTTATTAGACGACAGTATCTTCTATTATACATAAATAGGAGGTTTTTTTTTTTTTTTTTTTTTTTTTTTTTTTTTTATAGAATAGGGTGACAAACGAGCACACAGTCCACCTGATGGTAAGTGGTTGCTGCGGCCCATAGACATCTACATCTATCCTCCATTAAAAATCAAAATGCAGATGCGTTGTCACCCGTGAGGACTGAGATGGAATGCCTCGTTTCCAGTAAAAAGGGTCTCCGGTTCTCTACACTCACCATACGAAATACAGCAGCATTAAGCTACTATTTCACGCTGGTATTCTGTGAGAAGAGGTGATAAAATGTAAATACAATATTACAGTTTTTGTTATTTATTTAGTACATGAAAATTACCCAGTTGTTCGGAGGCTTTGAATTTCCATTTTCATCAATTACTCCATCTTCCCAAATGAAATAGTTGTAATATTTTTCATTTCCCTTTAGAGCTTCTTGAAACCACACACTTTCGTTGGAGGTATGATTTGGTACCAAATCTAATACTATCTTAATATCTGTAAAGAAAAAAATGTCACAATATCTTAAACTTTGTAATACTTTATTTTATTTAATCGGTTTTACAAATTTTAAGATTTAAGTCGTTGATTTTGTATTGCTTAATCATTATTACGAAAGAGTTTACATATGCTTATACCTAATTCTTTTGCTTTTTCAAGTAAGGCATCGAAATCTTCCATTGTACCGTATTCATCATGAATTGAGTAAAAATCAGAAATATCGTATCCAAAATCGTACATAGGTGACTGAAAAATTGGAGAGAGCCATATTGCCCCAGCACCAATCTCTTTCACATATTCTAATTTTGAGGTTATGCCTAAAATAGATGATAAAAATATAAAAACTTAAATTAATACAATTTTATCATTATTTGATTTTAATAGTTATATTATTTATTTTATACCTTTTAGATCACCAATACCATCCCCATCACTGTCAAAAAAAAGAACGTGGGTATATTTGATAGAAGATTTCCGTTTCCCACCAATCTAGACCCCTTTCTTCATTGTGTTTTATTACATCACCTACACAAAAAAATATTAAAAATGGAAGTAAAATGACTGCCCTCATTGTGAACGTCAATACAGTAGCAATTTGATAGCAGAATATTAATTAACAATATTATATAGAACTTAAAACGAATCTTGACAATGCTTTATCATTTATCAGTAAGATTTGTCACGTTAGTTTCCTCGATAAAACTTTTCCAGTGTCCTTGATAAAACTTTTCCAGTAACAATTATGTAGATTGCATATTATGGTGTTTATTGCAACACTTATTTATAAATTTTAATTCCCCTAAACACACTGATTATATTCTTACATTATTACATTGGAACAAGATAAGCCATTATAGATAGAGAGCCATAGAGATAAAATTTTAAGTGCTAATTTACTACGTAGCCATCGGTGAAGAAAAACATCGCACGTTTGGTTTGAATTAATTAGCTTTTAGTAGTATAAATGAGTTTATTCTTTTCCTCCTTGGTTTTTTTATGGAAGTAGAGGTGAAAAACATTCACAGTAACAAACATTCCAACTAATTTTAAGTAGATATAGTGGACCATAGACACCGATGTCATCTCTCATCGATTTAAAATCAAAATACTGAATATACTGATGCATTATCACTCCCGAGGACTAATATGAAAATTAGTATCATTATTTTTAGTAATGCCTTTTTAAGATACATGATGAGGAGGAGGAGGAAGATACTCACGAGTACATGTTTTTTTTTTTGCATAAATGGTTGAGTAAAACAAAATTACTACTACGGTTGTGTATCAAAGAGTTTGGTGGTCAGATACTACGTTTATACGTTCCCTTTATTCAAATTCTGTGTTGCCATTTATTGCAATAAATAAGCACAAAGTTAGCATGTAAATTTCGTTTCTGCGGCAAACTACTTGTTACTAAAGACTTTATTTTAAAGCTAATGATAAATAAATAAGTTTTAATTTCGTCATAAGTTGCCAAAGTAATAATAGTTTTTACTATGAGTCACAATGAAAAAAGCAGTGCATCAAGTGTACTGAAAGCTACAGACTAAGAAAATACCCCATCCCAATCCACTTCAAACATCCATTTAAAGCCTATATATAATACCACTGATGAATTTTCCCACAGAACCTTTCCCACAGATTGCCTTATTGGGGATATTTTGCTATAGCTGCCAGGCTTGTCAGGTGGGTTGGAAACCACAAAAAATATAATTTTTAAACATAAATTCTATGTTTGAGTTTGACTCATATTTACTTAAAGTGTTGGCTTAGTGTCTATAAAGTAAATACAAAACCTGGTCAATTTATAAATAAGTTTTATATTTTACGCTAAAAACCGGAGTCAATTCAGAATAAAATTCATCGTGTCACCAAGCAAAACAACGTCTGTCGGGTCAGATGCTTATTTTAATTAGGCGTTACTTTGCGAAAAATAAAACAATTAGCCAAGATACGCATGACGAAAGAAAATGATGTGTAGTAACTTAACCTTACACACACCTAAACTTTAAACAGTACCCACCTACCTCCCACAATCACATACAGCTGCCAACATTTAACCCAACCTATCAAGGAAAACATGCCAGTTTCGATAATACGACACGTATTTTGAATTTATGGGAAGTTTCATCATAAGAAATTTTCTAGAAAGCCAGATAATAAATATTACTTAGAAGATTTCATTTCTTGAAACCTATTACTTGAAATGCTGCGGCCTAGAGAAGGAATGCTGGCAGATCTACTGTACACTTCGCTGCTGCAGTGCTGCTTTTCCACGTACAAAACATCAAGTCCTAATCCTAGTCAAAACATCATCTTAGGAACCACACTTTTCTGATTTCTCATCTTATCTTGCAGATTCAGACCTAACATACTCGTTCTAGACAGCATTACTGCATCATTGATTCTTATACCTCACCCAACTTTCAATATTATTCATTAAGGTATCAAACTTATTGTTTAAGGGCTTCAGTAGCTACTATTACACAGGTGGACTGTTATCTCATTTGTAACTCTAATATTAACCATTACTTTAAAAAATAATCTATTTTTTAATGTTCCTGATCTATATTCTTTAAATATTATGATTGCATCCAAAGATCCTTTCTATTCATTAATTACATGTGTAGATAAAGTAGCCCGCCATTATTACATAATATGTTTACTTTTTACGATAATTACAGTAGTATATTGTACATATGTTACAAAATAATTGTATTTTAAACGCAATGCAATTAAAAGAATATATTATTTATTATTTATATTACTATCTAACAAGGTTCTACCTAATATACTACATGACATAATATCGTAATTTTTGTAAACTTTGAATTTATTACACAAACAACAACAAACACACCTTTTTGTTAGCTGTTGATATTCTAATCCTAGAATACTACATAAAAAAAAGACGTGGTAGAGCCACTAAGAATGATTTAAACTGCTTTTCAATACTCACCACTGACAACACATAGATACCATCTCCTATAAAACATGACGTAGATTAGAATATCGACAGCAATGCTTTTTCCTTTCAACTAATTCTTTTACTTCCTTATTTAAATATTTTCACAACGGCAAAAGTTCATGTACAGCCGTATATTTTAAAGTGTTAATGCAGAATCCCAAGACATGGTTAGCACTGAACAAATATTTAACATTATCTTGTAGACCTCAACGGAGACTAGCCATCTGCGCAATATTTTTTATTGAATAAAGGTTAGTTTTATTAATAAAGGTAAATAGTAAGTGGATGCTGTATCCCATAGACATGCACATTTACGCTCGATTAAAAATCAAAACGCAAATGCGTTGTCACCCCTGAGGGCTAAGAAGAAATGCCACGTTTCTAGTAAAAACGAGCCTCCCGATCTCTACACTCACCATACGAAACATAGCAGATTTAGCTGCTAATTTACGCTGGTATTCTGCGAGAGCGTGGTCTTACCCTGGTCGAGCCAACCCATTCGTGCTGCAGCCATAATATAGCTTCAGCGTAGCTCTACCAAGTAAAATTTATTTTATAAAAAATGGATTATAGTGTACGAGTGTGTGTGCAAGCACAGGTCCACTCTCTCACCCTCACTCTCATAGTCCGTTGCGATGGTAATCAATAAAACTTTAAAATACGTTTAAACTATCTTATATATAAAATAAATATACTACTTTAGGTTACATGCTATGTATATTAATTAAAGAATACTATCTTTAAACATTGGCCAACTGTTACGGTTACAGCCTATCCAAAGTCCTTCTCGATCATAGGCCATCTCCACGGATTGCTCACAGGAGGGTGGAGAGGTTATTTGCCATTAAAATTGGCCATATTAAAAAATAAGACTGCGAAAGGTCAGTGATGCTTGTATCTCGTTTATTTCTAAAAAAAGCAAATCATTGTGCTATTTATATTAAAAATTTCATCCATTTTATTATAGAGAATAAAAAAGACTGTATAATAAATAAATTATTTAAATATATTATTGAATTCAATTAATTGCAACTTCAGAACGATGCCTTCGTATCCAGCAACAGGTAGAGCAGACGCGTCGAACATATCACTGAAATCAAAATGAATACTTTTTATCTTTGTCATCAATTAACTAAATTGACAATTACGTCTTCGGTATCAATAAACTTTACAACAACTATAACAACAGAAAGAAGACATTGAAATGTTTAATTCCTGTTGTGACTACACTCTGTTAGATAGCGTTGCTTTAGCGATCAGGTTCTTTTGTATTATAATATACTAGCGCCGTAAATCTAAAAGTAAGTATATGTTTTGGCTTCTAGTAGTACCCACAAATAAATGAGAGTATTGAATTTAACAGTATATATGAATGTGTACTAGATACTAAGTTTGTTTGTCTGTTCGTTGTAATTCCAAATAAAGTGAATGACGATGATATTCTTAGAGTACTACAGAGAATATATACACCAACATCCATCCTCAATTTAAAATAAAAATCCATATGTTTTAGCACCCGTGTGGACTAATATGGATGCCATATTACCAGTTGGGCTATAGCAAATTACACTCGAACTAAATAGAACACTTAACTCTCGTAAGACCTGAGTTCAAGTCTTAACTGGGACCATATTTTGAGTAAAATATGTCTTGATAGTCTTTCAGGTCTAAATGGGTTATAATTAAACGCTTCATATATCAAATAAATAAATAATGCTTAAAAAAAACACAGTTTCTCATTGAAAGAATATCACTTAGATTTTTTTAACTTTAATATAATAAGATTACTTTGTTTTAACACATTCATACAGTCATCATCATCATCACAGCCCTTCACAAGTCCACTGCTGAACATAGGCCTCCCCCAAGTAATGCCACAAAGCACGGTCCTGAGCCACCTGCATCCATCGACTTCCTGCATATCTTACCAGGTCGTCACTCCATCTAGTGGGGCGTCGCCCTACACTACGCCTACCGGTACGAGGCTGCCACTCGAGAACCTTTCTTCCCCATCGGTTATCGGTTCTTCGAGCTATATGGCCGGCCCATTGCCACTTCAGCTTACTAATCCGTTGGGCTATGTCGGTCACTCTGGTTTTACTGCGGATATCCTCATTTCTGAGTCTATCACGCAGAGAAACTCCGAGCATAGCCCTCTCCATAGCTCGCTGAGCGACCTTGAGCGTCCTCATACGGCCAGCAGTGAAGGACCACGTCTCTGATCCGTAAGTCATCACTGGCAACACGCACTGGTTGTACACTTTAGTTTTCAGAGATTGAGGTATACCTGACGAGAAGATATGTCGTAATTTCCCGAACGCTGCCCAGCCGAGTTGAATCCGTCGATTGACCTCTCGGTCGAAGTTGGACTTACCTAGTCGGAATATTTGTCCCAGGTAAACGTACTCGTCAACAACTTCGAGCATAGTGCTCCCAACAACTACCGTCATAGGTGTGACATGGACATTAAACATAATCACATACAATGATGTATGCTTAATAAAATACAACTTAAAAAATTTAACATATTCACCAATTAGTTCGGTTACTATGCTAAGCTAAACAGAAAAGTTTGTCTAATATTTGACAGAAAATCAAAAATCGCTCACCCCTCATTTTTCGGTGACTGAATGCTCCTGATAACAACTGAAACGTAGCCAGAAACGTTTTCAAAGTAAGTCAAGTCAACGACGTATTCAGTGTCCCTCATATTCACAACTACCAGGTAAGTCTCCCCGTTATACCACCTAAAATGCATGAAATTTTTTTTGAAAATTGCACATTGTTTTGCGTAATTCCTTATTGTTACGAAAACACTAAGGATCTTTTCACATAGTACGAGAAAATAAAGTAAATTGAACGCGATAAAAGTCGCTAAAATTAGTATTATTAAGTGAGTTCCATTTCATTCCATTACAGCCTATAAAAGTCTACTGTTGAGCAAAGTCCTTCCCCTTAAATTGCCGTAGTTGCCACGTTTGGCAGTCTGGTTGGCAACCTTCGTTTATATTATTTTGAGTTGTTATCTGAATGAAGCTGCTGCCCATCCCCAGTTTCAGTTTCCCCCCTCCATCGTGTCTTACGACAACCACGGGTCTATATGGGTTTGTAAATATTCTTACCCCACCACTACACGGTTAATTTTTAACTACTAATATTACATATAATTTTTACTACTAGTAATACATATTCATACACAAGATTTTACCTTCATAAACCATAAACCTTAATAAATATGGAATAAACAATAACGGCCGCATTATCTTGATGCAGTGTCACATTTATGTATTTAGCGCAGTTAATAAGCTCTAAGTTATCGAAAGTAAATAGGATGTAAAGGAAAATATTGTATTTTCTTCGAGTGCCAATCTAACTTCCCCACCAAGTAAACACAAGCGCACGCCACTAATAAATTTGACAGGTGAGTTTGTAATTCGATTGATTGTAGAAAACCATCACAATCTTATTAAACCGAAATCCCACTGTCTGGTGATGGGAGCAGTCCGCCTGAGTGAGTTTCATCATGAAACTAGTCAGAAGTCATAACTATCAATATTTTTATTTGTATTTAATTTATATTATTTTAATACCCAAAGGCGATAGCGAATTATATGTGAGTAACCCATTTTAAATAATGGATGGTTTCAAGTTCAACTAACCGTTATAATTTATAAAAAATTACCTCCTAAAAACAAAAACGTCGTTGTTTAAGGCCAAAGAGTCATAACGCCCATATCTAAATACTTTTTCTTGACGAAGATCCGCTAAAGCTTGATAAACTTTCAAATGAGATCTTGTAGCGGCTTTTTGAACTTCTACATTCAAAGTCTCGTAACCTTCTGCTACTGGTAGCCACGTCTTATCGGCAGTTGAAAATCCTGCAAATATATACATTCATGGTATGAAATTTTAATTTTTTTCTCTTTTTTGGACTAAGGAAAATTACAATCTCTACGTAAGAACTAGAATGAGGTATAAATAATTCAATTAAAAATTACATCTCTTTTTGGGTTTTAGGTCCCTCTTAAGTGAAACATATTTAATAAAAAAATAATAAAATTCGGTTCACAATTCGGGTGACGAAGATATTGCATAACATACTCATACATATATGTATTGTAATATAATAATAATATACATAAAAGAGGATGTCATAGAGGAGATATGCAATCGTTTAACTCAAAATCTATTCGATCGATTACCATGAAAATTGTTATGTATATGTATGTATTTTTCAATGAAGAATTAAAAAAAATTGCAATAAACAAAAGTTTTAATTTTTTTATTTTAATTGCTTTTTTCCAATCAAGCACGGCAATCAATAAATTAAATTGCATGTGCTAAAGTAAAATATGTTGCTGAATACAACCTATGATACACACTAGGAGGACATACCTTATAATATACATAACTCGTCGAAATGAGAATCTGCTCTAGTTAGCAGCAGTCAGCTAAAAGTTTTTTTTATTTCAGTAGATAGAATGCATTTGCAATCGGTAACAAGTTTTCATGATGAAAAATCCAATCGCTTTAATACAAATAGCATACCAGCATTTTTCTCTGCATTCCAGTGGAATGGCGTACGTTCCGGGTCTCTCGAGCTTTTGATGTAATTGATAGGGTCGTTTGTATTACATCCAGAGGGATCTACGGTATCTTCCCAACTTACGTAGCCATCTAACATGCCAATTTCTTCTCCCTATAATTTTAAAGTGTCATAATTTAACCTGTTTTTTATACAAATGGCTTCTTCTTTAAATGTGTTTAAAATCGTGTGAAAAATTAATTTAGTAGACAATACATTCGTACACAGGCAATTAAATTGAACAACTATCGCTAGTCATGGCGCTTTCTTGCAGTGATGACGGCGGTTGAGAGTGATTTAATTATCACTAGATTCGAACGCAAAAAAAAGGAACTGATGGATTTGGATGCAAATGTATCTAGCAAGGTTTCTAGTTCCGATTGATTTCGAATTACTTTTAATCTCCCTCAACAACATATCGGATGAAACTTTCATATCTTAGTCCAGAGATCTACTAATTGCTGCATTACCTCTGGCAACCACTGCCAAACAATTTTTGCTCCAAATATTGCTAGTGTAACTGCATATTTACTACTCTTACTACTACTTTTTACTTAACATTTGTATTTCAGTCAACCGTGTTAAATAAACATATGTCTTTACCTCAAATAAAATCATCATGTAAATAAATTTCAATTATTTTTGTAAAACTTGTACGTCGCGATACATTCATTTCTACTTACCATGTAAGTTACACCAACTCCAGGAAGTAATAAAATTATCATGTTGATTCCGTCAACCAATGATGAACCGTATCGGGTTGCCATGCGACTGTTATCGTGATTGCCAACCTATGAGAGAGAAAAAAACACGACATGTGAGTAAAACAAGATTCTCAATATTTAGATAACAGCGAATCGTTTATATTTACAATAGTACTCACCACCCAGTTAGCTACTTTATCTACTGGCTTATAAGTCAAAAATTTGTCTACAGCTCGCTTAATATCAGCGGCTGATGAAGATCTATCTACGTCGGTTATTAAATCAAAATTGAATGGCATTTGAGCCCCCTTTCTCTCGCCTTCACCAAAGTATTTCACAACGTTTTGAACAGTAGCGTACACTTCAGTCATCATTACCCTAACAAGTCCATCTTGTGCTGAGAATTCATCAAATACGTCACGCCACTCATAAACCATGTAATAAGTTTCATTTTGATCTTTCGTGTAAATATGCGAGAGATAGTCATGTGACTCAGGGTCGACATCAACCCTGCCTGAAAACGGCTCATCGGGATACACTCCACCGAAAAGTTCTTTATTGACTTCAAACAAACAGTTTACTGCATCAACTCTGAAACCTGCTACACCTTTATCCAACCAAAATCGTATAATATTCTGAAAGATAAGAATAGATAAAAGTATTTTCGTAATGAATAAACGTTATAAAATTGTCACTAATTACGAAAATATGAAAATACAAAATAATACGACATTACACTAAAACTTATTTTTTAATCTATTACTAACCTTCATTTCTTCAACAACGTCCGGATTGCGGTAATTTAAATCAGGCTGTCCAATAACGAATTGATGTAGATAATATTTACCAACTTCTTCTCTATATTCCCAAGCACTTCCTCTGAAATGGCTTATCTGTGAAACATTTGATGTTTAAATTTTTAAAATTAAGTTAATAACTATTTTAAAGTCGTGTGGACGACAATATCTTCTTTTATATGTAGGTGATATAATGTAAATACAATATTACACTTTTTGTTATTTATTTAGTACATTAATAATTACCCAGTTATTCGGAGGCTTCGAGTTTCCATTCTCGTCAATCACTCCATCTTCCCAAATGAAATAGTTGTAATATTTTTCATTTCCCTTGAGAGCTTCTTGAAACCACATACTTTCATTGGAGGTATGATTTGGTACCAAGTCTAATACTATCTTAATATCTGTAAAAAAAATTCACAATATCTAAACTTTGTAATATTTTATTTTATTTAATCGGTTTTACAAATTTTAAATACTAAGATGTTGATTTTGTTTAGCTTAAAAATTATTATGAAAGAGTTTACATATGTTTATACCTAATTCTTTCGCTTTTTCAAGTAAGGCATCGAAATCTTCCATTGTACCGTATTCATCATGAACTGAGTAAAAATCAGAAATATCGTATCCGAAATCGTACATCGGTGATTGAAACATTGGTGAGAGCCATATTGCCCCAGCACCAATCTCTTTTACATATTCTAATTTTGAGGTTATACCTAAAATATATGATAAAAATTTAAAAATTTAAATTAGTACAATTTTATCATTATTTGATTTTAATAGTTACATCATTTATTTCGTACCGTTTAGATCACCAATACCATCCCCATCACTGTCAAAAAAAGAACGTGGGTATATTTGATAGAAGATTTCTGTCTCCCACCATTCTAGATCCCTTTCTTCGTTTTGTTTAAATACATTACCTCCACAAAAAATTATTAAAAATGGCAGTAAAATGACTGCCCTCATTGTGAACGTTAATTCAGTAGCAATTTGGTAGTTAAATAACAATATTATCCCTATTATATAGATCTTAAAACAAACCTTGACAGTGCTTTATCATTTATCAGATTTATCATATCAGATTTGTCACTTTAGTTTCCTTGATAAAACTTTTACAGCATGCTAGATAAAACTTTTCCAGTAACAATTATGTAGAATGCATATTAAAGTGTATATTGCAACACTTGTTTATAAATTTTAATTCCCCTAAACACACTGATTATATTCTTACATTATTTATTTATTACATTGGAACAAAATAAGCCATTATAGGTAGAGAGCTATAGAGATAAAAAATTAAGTGCTAATTTACTATTACTATTATTGTTATTATACGTAGTCATCAGTGAAGAAAACATCGTGTATTTGGTTTGAGTTAATTAGCTTTTAGTAGTATAAATGAAAATTCTCTTTTTCTTTTCTTCCTTGGCGTTTTTATGGAAGTAGAGGTGACAAACGAACACGTTCCACCGAATGTTAAGTGGATATAGCGGCCCCCAGACACAGATGTCATCGCTCTTCGATTAAAAATTAAAATAAAGATTACGATGAATATTAAGATGATTATTATTACTGACGCCTTTCAAAGTATCATGATGGGACAAATTACGAGTTCATGTAGTTTTTTTTTGTACAGATAGCCGAGTAAAATAAAATCACTACTACGATTGTGTATTAAAGAGTTTGGCGGTGGGATACTACGTTTATACGTTTCCTTAATTCAAATTTTGTGTTGCAATTTACCGTAATATGTAAGCACAAAGTTCGCGTATAAATACCGTTTCTACGGCAAACTACTTGTTTTAAGCTTAAATGAAGTTTTTAATTCGTCATAAGTTGCCAAAAGAATAATAGTTTCTACTACTGGTCGAAATGAAAAAAGCTACGCATTAAGTGTATTGAAAGCTACAAACCAAAAAAATTTCCCATCCCTATCCACTTCATCTTTCCATTTAAAACCTCACAACCATACAACACGGGATTGTGTTAACCAATTTATACTATTTTTTTTTATTTTAATGTTAATCTTTATAATACACATACATTTGTTGATGCATCTGTAAGTGATGGTATTACTTCTTTAAGATATAACCGATTAAGGTCATAAATTCTATGTTTTGTGTTGTTATCAGAAAAATGCTGCTAATGGGCCATAATGACTCATATTTACAAAAAAAAATGTCGGCTTAGTGTCTATAAAGTGAATAAAAAACATGGTCGACTTATTAATAAATTTTATAATTTGCACTTTAAAAACCAGAGTCAATTCAGAATAAAACTAATCGTGTCACCTACCGGAATGAGCAAAACAACGTCTTATTTTATTTAGGCATTAAATCTCAGAATTATTTTCTGCGATTGTTTTTTAAAGATAAAATGATGTGTAGTAAATTAACCATACATACACCTAAACTTTAAACAGCACCCACTTATCGTCCACAATCGCATATAGCTGCCAACATTTAACCCAACATATCACACTCAAACCTTTACCCAAGAAAAACATGCCAGTTTCGATAATACAACACCTATCTTGAATTTATGAGAAGTTTCACCATAAGAAGTTTTCTAGAAAGCCAGTTAGCAAATATTACTTAGAAGATTTCATTCCTCGATTCCTAGAATAGCTCATACTCACCGCGATTGGTGTCTGTGTTCAACTTGTTGTTGCTTGTTTTCCCTCACCAGTCTGTAAAATCGGGAAAGCAAAAAAAAAAAAAAAAAAAAAAAAAAAAAAAAAAAGAAAAAAAAAAAAAAAAAAAAAAAAAAAAAAAAAATATTTGGGATGAAAAAAAAGCACCAAAAAAGGATTTTTTTGTCACAGTCGGAGTCTTGACCGTCAATTAACAGGGTGTTATCGCGCGCAGGTAACAGTACACATAAAGATAGTGGACCGATAAAATGTTTATACAAACATGACAGTCAGATTGGAATATCGGCAGCTAACAAAAAAAGTGTGTTATTTCCTTTTTATAAAGTAAATACAAAGTTCATAAAAATAATGATACTACGTCATGTAATATATTAGGTACAACGTTTTTAGATAGTAATGTAAATAATAATGAGGTCCTGGGTTCGAATCCCGGGTCGGACCAAAAAAAACACTAATTACTGAGTTTTTCCATCAAGAAATCGTCAGTAGTTTCCCGGAGCCAGGAAGTTGGCGGTGTCTTACCCCCGTACCTCAGAAAGCACGTAAAGCCGTTGGTCCTGCACCTGATCTCTCTCCGGTCGTGTCGGTTTACCGTCCCATGGGATTATGAGAGTGAGGGAATAGAGAGTGCACCTGTGCTTGCGCATACACTTGGGCGCTATAATCCTGTCCTACGTCGATGGCTAGCCTCCGCTGAGGCAGGACGCCGTGGCCGAAATTCGGTCTGGAGGACATTATTATCATTATTAAATAATATATTCTTTTAATTGCATTGCGTTTAAAATGTATTAAAGGTTCACTAAACATATTATATAATAATGGCGCGCTACTTCATCTACACATGTAATTAACGAATAGAAATCTGTAGGTGCAGTCAAAACATTTAAACAATATAGAGCAGGAACATCAAAAATATTTTTTGTTTTGAAGTTAAGGTTAACATTAGAGTTACAAAGATATAAGTTCATCTGTGTAACAGTAGCTACTGCATCCCCTATACAACAAATTTGAGGACTTTTATATACAATACCTTAATATATAATATTGAAAGTTGGATGTGATAGAAGAAACAATGCTGCAGAAATGCGGTCGAGAAAGAGTATGTTAGGTCTGAATACGTAAGTTGGGATGAGAAATTATTAATTACCGAAAAGTGTGGTTTGCAAGATGATGTTGTGACAAGGATTGAGAATGGACGATTTGTACGTGGAAGAGCAGCACTGCAGCAGCGAAGTGTACAGCAGATCTACCAGCATTGCCTCTCTAGCCCGTAGAATTTCGAGTTATACCCTATACTCTGCTGTATTAGCTTCTTTCATGCTATTCATTGCTTTCATTCTACGCTTATTATATATTCTGATCTCACTACCCGTTTTCAATTATTTTGGTTTTTTTTTTCACTTTGCACACTTTCAAAGTATTTTTTCTACTTACCACTTACTTTAAATTTGAAACTTCGTCATTCAATACACAGCTATTCTGGTCTCATTTAGCATTAATTCCAGACTGTTATGCAGTTTTCCAGCTGTACTTACTACACATTAAATATTACCAATTTTACTCATTTCATGATTACAACAAAATCCGTAAAATTAGCTTTATATACCTACATCGGCCCGTCATAAGATAAATATGTACACAAATACACTAATCTCTCCTCTATATAAATAAGCTTTAATTTTGAACTTCCTTTCGCAGGGTCTTCATTTCAGATTCTGCATTATTGAGATGTTTATATCATCTTCTGACAAATTTCGATACATTTATTTTACGATTATGGCATTTCCATAACTTGATTTTGCACTGCTGAATTAGTAACATCGCTACACATTACTATGTCATTTAAATAATCATAAATCATGAATCAGAGAATAAAATTATCACGACCATTAGATACTGTTCCAAAAAGCCATGAAATTGACCTTTTCACGTAACATTAACCCACTAAAGATGCAGATAAGGTATGATAAACATTTTATTTCAAGTGTTTTCCGTCAAACTTCAGCAAGATAAGGATTTAACATACTTGAAGTAGATAACTTATTTAAATGCTTATCAATAAGTACATGGGGCAGCTAGTAGTTCCACGCTTCACTGTAAACATTTATTACATCATTTGAGTAGAGTTAGGTAACATCCTACATGTGTCGCATTTTCAGCACAATTACCTTCTCATTTCTGAGAACAAAAAAGTCCGCCGCGGTGTCACAATGTATTTTTATATCGCGACATTTTAACCTAGTACGTGGTAAATCAGTATTGTAAACAGCCCAAATTTGATGCAAATGCTATGCGCTAAGCGGTCAGAAAGCAAATGAAACTAGAATCATTATGACAACCTAAAAATATATTGGTAAAAATGAAACTACAATGTAGCATGAGTTAAAGAATACCAATAAAATATAAAAATAATTGAATATATACAAATAATTTAAACTTGCATCCGTAGCACCAGGGCCTCGTCCGCAGATAAGTCTAAATAATTCGCCAAAACGTTATCGCTGAAATGAAAAAGTATTTATTATAGTTGTTCAAAAGTAAATTAAACAAACATTATCTTAATTTTATGTGCAAATAAATTATTTCCCATACATTGTTATGTAATACCTACTAAAGTAAAGTTTCTTTAATAAACAATATTACCTGTAAGTCCTTGACGACAGAACACTGCTAACTTCAACTTCTAATTGGCCGAAAATCAAATCGAATGCCGTTAAATTAACAACTTGATAAGATTTTCCCACATTCATAACAACAACATATGTATCGTCATTATACCACCTAAAATATCAGACAAAAATAATTTAATAAAATACTAAGTATTTATAAGGAATTTCCTTGCATGTTTGGTAAACTAAATAATCGTTTTATACAAAATAATTAATGGACTACTTTAATAATTGTTCTTAACCGGCATTTTCATCTCTAATAGAATTTAAGGTCTTAAAAAACTTCGGACGGAATTCCGCAACTAAGGATAGATATAGTTACAATCTAGCATCGTCAATATTGTCAGTCTTTTGAAATCCATTTCCGCCTACATGTCACTTCCTGAAAGAGTTTTCCGTACGCGGATTGACTAATCACTTCGCATTGATAACGCTTTCCTCGTCACCAACAATTTTCTAATGGATTTTCCACCAAACTAATTGGACTTGAAATTTATAGTAAAGTTTGGTTCCTTTTTGCAGCCCTATTATAATTCATTACATTTAAATAGAAGAATCTGAGCAGATTTTTTATAATATATAATATAACGTTGACAAACAAGCATACATTACTATGACTTTCGTCACTCGCCAGTCGCACCAATGCAGGGCTAAGACCCATTTCCTGTGCAAGTCGTCCTTCGTGGTGCTGCTACAATATGCTGCTATGTAGCTCTACCACTTCAAAATATCAATAGAACTCATTCTTAGGAAAGCTCTTGTTCAGCAGGGATTTCTGATGGACAATAACGATTAAATGATGAACGAATAAAAGATTAAGATTTAAAAAATTACCTTTTAAAGGCAAATACTTCGTTGTTAAGAGCAAGCGATTCATAGCGGCCGAGACGAAATGCAGGACGCTTGCGTAGATTTGTTAAGGTCCGATAAACCTGATAGTGGGAACGGACGGTGGAGCGTTGTATTGCTAAGTTCAGACTTTCATAGCCATCAGCAACAGGTAGCCAGGTCTTATCGGCTGTTGAAAATCCTTCGAACAAATCAATTAATTATGTCAAAGTTAATGAATTTGCTTGTATGATTATTGATAATCCTAATTAATATATATTTATGGTACTTAGTGCTACCCGTGCGAAACTAAGCATTTCCGGTCGGATGATCTGTAGTAACTTGGGGGGGCGTAGTGGTGAGTTTATCTGACAATGATGCTCTTTGATTTGTTTCACATTTGAATGTTTTTAACATTTTTAATCTTTACAGAACATTAACATAACTTACTAATAACTACAAATTAGAGCAAAGTGTGCTGCTACCTTATAAAGTAATTCTGCCGTTAATCTTAAAACTGAGTAAGCCTTTAATTTAAGTACATTTAAAACTTTCATTCAAACGTTTGAGAAAATACACTCATAAAAAAACACAACAAATACACATTTTTAACCAGGCAAACTACACAAAAAATAAAGTTTATTATGAATTAACTCAACATATAAATCCCAAAGCTGCAAAGTGTTTAAATTAATACGCTTCCCACCGAGTACCCGTAGCGACTTCTACCCTCGCGTATGCGGATTCCAAAGGAAAGAATAATGTACTTAGCGGATCAGTGACTCCCTTCCAACTAATTAACAACCCTACCCCTAGAGTGTTTTTGTAAAGCCGCAGACGTGAAAGAAGAGCAAGCTCCACCCGCCGTAGCAAATCGCAGGCACCTGTTCCAGCCGTAGCAGCTAGCTAGTTTTTTTTTGATATAGGATAGGTTGACAAACGAGCACATAGTCCACCTGATGGTAAGTGGTTGCTGTGGCCCATAGACATCTACATCTATTCTCGGTTACGAATTAAAATTCAGATGCGTTGTCACCCGTGAGGACTAAGTTGGAATGCCTCGTTACCAGTAAAAAGGGGCTACGGTTCTCTACACTCACCATATGAAACACAGCAGCATTAAGCTACTATTTTACGCTGGTATTCTGTGAGAGCGTGGTCCTTCCCCGGTTGAGCCGACCCATTCGTGCTACAACTATACTACTAATATTGCTGCAGCTTGGCTCTACCACGTATTAAGATTAGTTGCCGTAAGTAATTTTTTTATTTTTTTTTATTAATACGTATAAAACGTTGATCAATTATCGAAATTAATTAACCAATTGTGATCATTTCGTGAACAATTGAAAGAATTTTAGGTGCAATTTCTAAAACTTATTAGAGCCACCAAAATTTTCCGATGACCTTGTAATTTTAAACTCTCTGCAGTTAGTCTAAAAAAAGAGTAAAAATTACTGACCATTTATGACCATTTTGTGACCAATTCGGACCGCTTTAAAGGCCAAATTTCATAATTTTGGTCACTAATTTGATGTAGCCCAATAACTCGCTGATAATAACACTTTGAACGCTCTGTTATCGCAAGCAATGTACCAGCATATAGATCGAGTATATCGTATCAGTGATAGCTCCGCAGGGTCATTTTTGTAAAGGAAATTTCTTGTAAAAACTAAGTCATTAGTCTGTATGTATACAAGAATAATAATTTTTCAAACGCAATGATCGCCTTATAATAGCGGAGTAAGAGAATCTACCTTAATCTAACTTAAATCCTCCTGTGGGTGTCGTGAGAGGTGACATAGTGAAATTAGACCGCGATATGGGCAGCAGTATTTGGGGGACATAATTAAATGCCATGCGTGCCAACAATGGCAAATATCCTATGAGGCCATATATAAGCGAGGCCTAATTATTTCAGCAATAGACTTTGATAGGTTGTAACGATGATCATGATGATAAAAATGCATTATTTATTTTATTTTCACAAACTACAATAAAAAAAATGTTTAATATTAGTTTTTATTACATGTGTTTTTGAAGTTCATTTTCAGTTTTTGCGAAGTAGTCATAATAGACTATTTGAAAAGAACCATTTCATAATACTCACATCATTATCTTATTATACATATCGATTTACAAAGTGCATGCCTTATTAGCTCTACGGGCTGAACTTTAAGGTGGAATTTTTACAGTTTTAATTGAATAGGATATAATTAGCTGATTTTACAAAAATATTCATAAATGAAACACATATCACTCACTCATGAATTATCATCATCAGCTTATTAAAAGTGAGTCACAGACATGAAATAGATATGTATTTATTCTGAAACTAAATTTGTACAATTTTGACACAGAAAATAAAATGATACATAAAACATCAAAGATAAAAATAAATAAGAGAGAACATACATAAATGATAGATTCCGATCTGAATGCATGAGTGATGTGATGCTGAAAAGCGGTACTGACTCAACAAAACGCTATCGCACGGTTGCGGTTACGTTGGTTTTCAGTACTGCCCATTGAGGTTGGACTCGCTTTCTGCGAGGATAGTTTGTACGCTATATTATAAATATGTTCGAGAAAGATATTATCAAATTAAAATAAAATAATGGAAATGCATAAATCTTTATTAAGATAATTGATAGAATCAAGCGTTACTTTGCGTAAATCCATTACAATAAAGATATGAATAGTTAATTTGCAACCATCCACTTAATTAAATACAATGATGAGTCTTACCTAGATTGAAGAGCACCTCCCGCCCTCCCTCAATTGGGTGCACTAATCCCGTCACCACTAATCCCAGCACCACTGCTTCCAACACCACTACTTTCAACACCACTATTCTAGGAAAGACACACCATCAACGATAATACGACACGTGTTTCGCCTCTACACGAGGCATCTTCAGGTGATGTAGACTCTACGGCAGCAGCCTTAGGTAAGACACATTAATTAATTGAGCGGAAGATTGCAAAGTAACTATTAATATCTTTATTTTAAAATCTTTATTAGCTATGGGTGAAAATCCCTACAGTATTTCCTAAGATTAATCTGAACTTAATATACAGACGGACGCGGCGGGAGCTTCATGTAAAGAAAGGTGAATTAGAAATGAATGGGTCACAGACAGAATTTGATAGAGCGTTAAGGGGTCAGACGTGAATGTAATTGTGTAAGGGTTTACCTCCGTTTTTTCCATTACTCCACTGAAAAGGTGTGCGGACTGGGTCACGTGACACATCAATAAAATTGACTGGGTCGTCGGTATTGCACGCCAATGGATCCTTCGTTTCAACCCATGGCACAAAACCGTTCACCATTCCTATCTCTTCACCCTAAATATTAATAAGATTAATAATGTATTTGTAATGTAAAGAAAATTTTATTTTCACAGCACGAAGATAAAAGGCGGTACTTGTTCCGTGCGGGATTCAAACCCGCGGCCCTTATCGTTTCAACTCATTGCTAAGTCACTGCGCCACAGAAGCGTCAAATATTATTTAATTTTTCAAAATTAAATACTTAATGCTTTATAGCAGTTCATAAAAACTATTTGATTTTAGACAAAATAAATACGCTTTCTGAAATCTGGACTCAGAAAATACTTTTCATATTACGAGTTGTTGAATATGTGATATGAATTTAAATCAAACTATTTCTTACGGATTTTATCGCACATATTAACTTTTTTTATATTCCCGACGTTTCGACGTTTCGGTATTCATCATCCAAATATCATAGTTAACCGCGGTTACCCACATATTAAAATTATTAATTTTTGTTCCGATCTACACAGAATGAACTTATAGTATCTTGAAGTCTTGCAGTTGTATGTTTTGGTTGAGATTTAATTTTATTAATTATAGGATCCCAAGCAGATGGTAGTTCCCAGCCATCTTCGCTATTAAAATTGGGATGTTTTTTCATTTCAATAGCTTCGCGAATCATTCTTGGAAGGAATCGGTGTTCTTTAGCGAGGATTTGTGGTCTATCAAATCTGATGTAGTGACGGGACGTGTTCACAGACTGCAGACTTCCCGGAGCGTTATTCTTCATATCGGCTATATGTTATGTTATGTGATATTAATTTAACGTAATTCAACTATAGTGTTAACCATATTTAGCGGTAACTAGTTTACTAGGTACGTAACTGTAGCTGCTATAGTAATTTTACAATAAGATGTCCGTTCGTGTGCAATGTATATGTAAAATGCCATCTGAGTACTCGAAAATATCTCAGTTTGGTTGCAAAACTTTTAAAAATATTAAAAGGTAGTTTTCTAAATATAAATATAATAATTCTAAAGGTGACAAGCAAGCATAAAATCCAAAATATGGCAAGCGGATGCTAGGGCCCATAGACATCTACATCTGCCCTCGATTATTACTCAAAATGCAGATTTGTTGTTACCCCTAAAGACTACGATGGAATGCATCGTAACCAGTAAAAAGTATCTCCGTATCTCTACAATCACGAAACAGGAGTATTATAATGCTTCTGTGTTTCGTACGGTACTATTTGACGTTGGTATTGTGTGAGAGCACGGCCCTTCCCTGGTTGAGCCGACCCGCCCGTGCTGCAGCTATATTATAGCAGCAGCATGGCTTTACCACGTAAGAAACCTCTCGCGTGTTTGTAATACAACCTCGGAGTTTGAATATGGTTTAATTTGATGGTTGGACTTATCATAATCAGTCTTGGAAGATGCCTAGCACATTTAACGCTCCTCCAATGGGTATTTTAAGTCCAGCGTAAGTGAGATGGTAACATTACAATCTATTGGAAGCCTTGAGATCGTTCCCCATATAGTAAGGTGTCGTAAACAATAGGACGAAATGGGGTGATCTGCACGCTTACAACAAAACTACACGGCAACTTTTTTAAAAAAAAGCAATAACCAACAAGATGAGGATACAAAATATAAAAAAGCGGTCTAGGTGCGACCCGAAAGGTCCACAGTCCACACGACTAACTTCCCAGTAGAAATAATAAAAAAGTCCCATTTAAATGCAATATTTTATACAACTTTTCATTCGGCACAAAAAACAACTTGACCGATTTTGCTCAAAATTTAATGAAGTCTAAGTTACATAATTATACGTTAAATGAAACTGGTCCCTTGTCAATATCACTCTTTGTTCTCGAGATACACGAGGCGAAAATTGAATCCGAATATACATACATACATACGTACATGTGCTCACGCGGATATCCTCCTAAAAACCATACTATTCGACTCTAAAGACCTTCAAAGGTGGATCCATATCCATATCCATAAACAATTTTAATCAAATGACAAACATTTCAATCAATTAACCTTATTATGATATTAGGAAAATACATTACCATATACGTAAAAGCTATTCCAGGAAGCAACAACACGAGCATGTTAAAGGCGTCTACTAATTCTGGTCTGAAACGTGACGCTACACGGCTTTTGTCGTGATTTCCAGTCTAAAACAAAAATAAAAAAGAATCTTAGTGATAAATTTATAGCAGAGAACATACTTATGTTTTGTATATAATCGCGATCCTTAAGTATTGTATTTAAACTATGTAATGAGATTAAATGAACAATAGTACTCCACATTGGCCTTAATTTCACCAGCAACTACGTCTAACTAAAGACAGTGAAACCGAAAATTAGGGAAATATACTTAAAAGTGAACTAGGAGAAACTTACCACCCAGTTTGCGTGCTTTCCCAACGGTTTATACGAAAGCCACCGATCTATGACGTATTTTATATCTCTAGCGTCAGATTCTTTAGTTACTTCATCTATTAAAGCATTATTAATAGGAATGTGCGCTCCGGAGTGAATGCTATCACCATAATATCGCACCGCATTCTTAATCCCGGTATTCGCTAACGTCATCATTACTCTAGAATCCGAAAGTTAGTAATCACATTATTAAACTTGTTAAACCGCATAAGATTTATGTTTATGCTAAGTTTAAAAGATATATTTTTCATATTTTTACAGAATAAGGGTGACAATGAAGCATATAGTCCACCTGATGGTAAGCTGATGCTGTGGCCTATAGACATCTAAATCTATCCCCGATTAAGAACAAAAATGCAGATGCGTTTTCATTCCTAAGGACTGGAGATAGAATGCCTCGTTTCCTGTAAATAGGGTCTATTTCATTTTAGTATAACCAAAATGTGTTTAACTATAATACGCATTATCCGATTGGCTAACATCCACTGTTTAAGCCAATTAAAAATACTCTGTGAGTTTTCGCGAAAACTCCGAAGCAGGAATCAATGAATCAATCGATTTGTGAATGGATCAATTTTAGAGCTATACAAACAAAACGCTTTGGCGCATTTTTAGTCTAGAGTAATTTTGTTTATAAAGAAACTGACTAAGTTTTTCATTGGTTAACTATTTAGATTCATAACTCGTATTTATTAATTTCATATCATCAATGAACATTAAAAACGTCATACAAATATAAGATTTCTTTTATATACGCGAGTATCACACATTGAATGACGCTACTTTTTCGGATTTTATTGCGTGTAATTTAAATAATTTGTTTGCTGCACACGGGAGGACTGTCATGATTTACGTCACAGTATTTTTAACAAAAAAACTTAACATAATATTGAAGTACATTTAGCTTTTTATTAATTTTGGTTGGTTCTACGTAGAATAATCTTTATAATTCGAATTAGCACTAGAACGCCGGGAACCATAAGAAAACAGGTAATTTAAACGCGATAAAATCTGTAAAAATTCGTTATTAATATATTTTTCCTTTGTCTTTAATAAGACAATCTTAGTACTGCTTCAGTTCTCATTATTCATTACTTACCTCGTAAAGTTATCCCTTAGAGTTATAGAATCAAAAACTTCTCTGAATTGTGACACAATATCGTACGTCTCTTCTTGATCTTTTGTGTAAATATGATCTAAATAATCGTAATCTTCAGGACCTAATCCTGATTTTCCGGTGAGGGGTTCATCAGGAAAATGTCCACCAAAAACATCCTTATCAGTTTCATATAGGTAATTAATGGAACCAAATCTCATTCCAGCGATGCCCTTCTCTAACCAATATTTTATGACATTCTGCAAGAGATATAGATAGATATTCTCAACTTTATTTTATATCAACTATTTTTTTAAATATTAAGCTGAAATAGTAATAGGCCGGCCATATAGTTCAAAGAATTAACAATCTAATAGTTGTTAGATGTTATTAATATCGTTACCAATTATATGACATACAATTTGTACCGGTTTATTTATTTATTACGGCGTATCAAAAGTTTATTGTTGAACATAGGGCTCTCCATAGAGTGCCTCAAAGACAATATTCGACACAGTTGCCACGCTTCATAGACAGGATGGCAACCGTAGCATTTTATTATTTTGAGATGTTATCAGGATGACACTCTGCCCATAACCTGCTTCCCCATCAGTGTTTCCGACACCCACGGGATTGTATGGAGTAGTGGATACTCTAACGCCGCCTCTACACGGCATATTTGTATATATGGCACGTGGTAATAGTCAACTTTTTATCATAACAAGATTCCATATGTATATTTCAATTTAATAATCTTTTAAATTATTCCTTGTAGGAACTAACAATACAATATTGTAGCTTAATTGTATTTTTTAAACACCTATTTCAGAAATTGACAGGCTGGTAAAAAAAGTTAAAGAGATTTTTAAAGAATATAATACTATATATTTGTACTTTTGTAACCAGTGTTGATTTATATTTTCAGTTTTATATTGGTTTTATACCTACTTTCATTTCTTCTGCAACTACGGGATTTCGGTAATTCAAATCTGGTTCGGATTGACTGAACTGGTGAAGATAATATTGATCTCTGCTAGGCATATAGGACCAGGCGCTTTTCCTGAACACGCTTACCTGTTTTAATATTATTATTATTAGTTATGATGATCATTACGAATCAAAAGGATAAGTCAAATAAAAAAGGATAGAAGAAAGACAGAAGGCGCCAGTGCATCTAATTGAATATTGAAATAAAAAATAAATTCAATATGAATTAATTTATCATATATAAATAAATAAATCACGAAAATTTTAGAAAAAGAGTGAAAGAAGAATTTATTTAAAATGTTATTATTTTGGGTAAATAATAATATATTTAAATAATCTAATTATTTTAGGTAAATAATAACTACATCAGCGTAAAATTGTAGCAAAATCCTCGCTGTTTCGTATGTTCGGTGAAGAGAACCGAAGGTCCTTATTTAGTAATAAGAGATACCCTGAGGTAAAAAATAATGCATTGTACTGGTGTGAAATTCGAACACAGTACAGGTATAAATCCATTTAACACCGTGTGCTCGTTACTTATACTTGTGTAAAAAATATTAACTAATATTTTAATTGGCAGAGCGCAGTTACGCTGCAGCTTTACGTCGTAGAGCATACCTAAGGTACGAACGGGTTCCCTAGACAAGACCACGTGTGACGTATAGTAAGTGTAGAGAACCGGAGACATTTTTTACTAGCAACAAGGCATTTCATTTAGAACTCGTTTCCATTAAATAGAGGTATCCGATTCTCTACAATCCCCATATGAAAAACAGCAACATTTAGCTGCTACTTTACGCGAGTATTCTGTGAGAGCGTGTTCCTTTTCCAGCCAAGCCATCCCGTTCATGCTACAATTATAATATAGTTATAATATGTTTCTACCAAACATGTAATTTAATAGTCAATTTATTTCTTAAAATTTGCTTTTTTTCTTACCCAATTATTCGGTGGCCTCTTTCTGCCATAGTCGTCTATGTGGGCATTTTCCCAAATATACCAATTGCTGTAGTACTCGTCTTTACTCGATGATTTAAGAAACCATTCACTTTCATTACTTGTATGATTTGGAACAATGTCTAGAATGATTTTAATATCTGTAATAATTATTATAATTTTTATTTAATTGTTACTGAAAGAAGACGAAGAACATTACTCGTATTACTATTAAAATATTTAAGGCATCAAAATGTTTTCTTTTCGAAACTTGGAGCATATCCCTCTCAATAGCTCGCTGAGCGACCTTGTGATTATAATGACTGGCAGTGAAGGACCGGGTAGTTAACCGGGTAAATAATTATTATTATTAGTACTGCACTATGTAAAACAGAATAGAAATAACTTTAAGTTTATTCTAAAATGTCTAAAAATTGTATATGTTTGTATATAATACATATACTCACGTAATATACTATAGAGAGTCCCTACCTTTGTAAAAATTCAATGGGACGTAAAATAGACTTACTTAGTACACTGGCCTTACTGATGAGTTGTTCAAAATCTTCCAGAGATCCGTATTCAGGCTGGATCGTATAGTAATCAGAAATATCATATCCAAAATCATACATAGCTGACTTGAAAATTGGTGACAACCACATTGCATCTACCCCTAAATCTTTTAAGTAATCTAATCTAGATATAATACCTGCAAATAAAAATGGTCGGTAGTACAATATGAGTACATCATAATAGTAAAAATTTACATCATTAGCGGCTTTGTTTACACGCACGCCAATATTATAAGCATACTTTATTAAAATCACTAAAAATGTTATGAACCGATACCGTTTATGTCTCCGACTCCATCTCCATCGCTGTCTACGAAGGATCTAGGATATATCTGATAGAACAATGCCGTTTCCCACCAATCACTCTTAATATTTACATTCTCATATCTCGCATCTATTAGGATAGCAATGACGCAGAGTATAAAAATTTCAATAACTGCAATAAATAGGAAAATTAAATATTGTATTCGAATTCAAAATATAATACGTTTTATAAATTTCTTCGCTGGACTGGTTTTTTTTTGTGCTTATATTGTATTTTTAAAATATTCCTTTGTCTTAATTTAGGCTTAAGTCACTTTGAAGTATACAGAAAAAAATTCTTTCAAAGGACCTTAATGATGTTAGATAAAGAAAAAATTTAAAGGTAAAGGCTTTAATATTCTTTATTTTACTTTAACTTTAGAATGAATTTTTTAGAAGAAAGAAATTTACTGGAAGTACCTTTAAAAATAAATCGATTAATATTATGAAAAAAAACCTATTTAAATTGAGTAGAAGAATATTAAAATTTTTCCTTAATCAGATTAAAAACATAGAAATGCCGAAGGATGTTTTATAACGTCGTCAACTAATCCGCCCTTATCTTCTTGTATTTTGAATCAAATCAAACTTTAGAAAAAGTTATGATCGGTCGATCATAAATAATGGCTCTCGTTAGTAAGTACCTTGCGGTTGCAAATATCATGACCTCTGAACTATAGGGCTACAATAAACTTGCTTTACATAAACTTTTTACTTGTTAAGTTCTATTCCAAAATAAAATGTTATTTTATAGCTCAACAAACCATTGAGAGGGTTATTCTCGGTGTTTCTCTGCATGATAGACTTTCTAATGAGAATATCTGCAGTAGAACCAGACATACCCTATCCCTATCGGATCAGTAAGCTAAATGGCAATGGGCCGGCTACATAACTCGAAAACTTGATAACCAATCGGGACATAAGGTTCTCTAATGTTTACCTCGTAAGCGAAGTGCAGGGGAGCGCCCCATTGGATGAGAAACATGACCTGGTACGAGATAGGGGAGGTCGAGGCTAAGGACCTTGTTTTGTGTCATTTCTTGAAGAAAGCCTATTTTTAGTAGTGGACTTGTTAAGGGCTGTAATTTTATTTTTTGTATTATAAATTGTAACATTTGTAAGTCAACCTTTTCGAAGAAATAAAATTTTATACAGAGCCACGCTGCAGCTATATTACGGTTGTAGCACGAATGGGTCGGCTCGACCGGGGAAGAACCACGCTCTCACAGAATACCAGCGTAAAATAGCAGCTCAATACTGCTATGTTTCGTATGGCTTAATTCTCTGGGGTGATAACGCATCTGCGTTTTGATTCTTAATCGAGGATAAATGTGGATGGGCCATAGCATCCTATTACCATCAGGTAGACTGTGTGTTCTTTTGTCACCCTTAATCTATAAAAAAAACATATTTATAGTTAGTTAATACATTGGAAGGAAGTTAATAATGTAACAAGTGTTTTATTTTTATTTTAACCTTTTTGTCGACTAACTCACTTCACTATGCTTCTACACTATTAAATTAAGCACTGCACTTTTATTTCACTTTTGACTCGTTTATTCGAAACCATCCAACACCTATAAAGTATAGCAATAGCACAGTTATTGCGTAATACAATTATATTTGTAGTGCCATCTATTATTGCTTTGAGCATATTTAACATTGACAACTGATATTGCACCTCTATGCTTATCTCTACATTTTTCTAAATACATGACAATAATATGTCACTGTAATATTTACTAACAAAAATGTCTTAATTTTAGACACCTTTTTTATTCACGCATTGTCATCTGTATTTGAAGTGTATTCAGAATTTCAAGTTTTCAGCTCATCCGGTATTTTGTTTAAAATGAATTGCTAAATTCCACTCGGAACGACAGACAAAGAAGAAAGTGATCGTTGTAAAATTAGACGAGTTCGTTTGTCCTTGTCCATGACCCTGTTGGAGTCATAGGAGGCGACAAAAGGAAACAAACCCGCTGGCAGCAGCGTTATTTAATTACAACTAAAAAACAAAAAATGGAAAATACCGCCAATATCCCCCCTACGAGGCAATCTAAGAGAAAAAAAACATTCAACTTAGTTTCGTATTTTAGAAGTTTTTGCGAAACTTGTACTTGGAATCAAAATGCATATCGGTGTGACTTATGAACTTATGAACCCATTTTAAAGTTTTGGAAGAGGTACTTCCCCCCCCCCCTATTCTATTTCTTAGGCAAAACCCTAAGAAATAAAATAGGGAGAAACAATGGCTGGCTTCTATTAAGAATTACTTGACAAAATGTTTCAATAACTTATAGTGGTCTGACCCGGAACCTCATGATCTCTCTCTCTCTAATACACAAAATTGTAGTACTTTTACGTATTTAAATCTAGTTCGAACAATAATTATACGATAAAACAGGAGCAATAATCTACGGGTGGTAAAATTCCCACCAAAACTCTTGACTAAACTGTTAAAGCTTGTTAAAGCTAAACTTGACAAGCGAGATAATAAAGTTTTTAATAATGATATTGGCCTCACTTCATTCGATTTAATTAGTGATTTCATTTGAAAGTGAAATAAAAGTTAATTAAATTAATATATTCTTGATGAAATAAAATCATTCATTATTTAACACGTTCGCTGCGGCACAAGGCTTATAGGCCTGATACATGAACTTGCAGTCGGTGCGGAGCGAAAATACAGCGTTCTCCCTCTAGTGCGAACGCAGTAACTTGAAGATTTCTCTATAAGTGATAAAGACAAGTATATATTTAAGATCGTCTTTTCAATGGCTATTCATTTAAATAATAAAATTTGTATCAGGCCTATCGACCTTATACCGCACTGGAGAGTAAAAATTGACATTCAGTGTGGATGCAAGGCCCATAGGCCTTATGGGAAGTACAATGCCTATCTGCCTAATACCGCACTGATTGAAGAGTCAAAATCAATTAGTGTTGTGTTGACAGCTTTTACAAATGCATGTGCGTACGATTCATAAAAAATGCATCGAGTCAATAAACGTTGTCGAAAAATGCTCGAGCTGTCTTTTCAAAATGCACAAGAAGTGGTGGACCAAAATAACAGTGCCAGTTTACAAGAAAAAAAACAAATTCAAATCCTTCAGGATGTTATTGTTAAGCCAGCTTCTACAAGCAGTGAAACTACAACTTTTCAAGAACCTCGCTGCAATTCATCTATTGCTTTTCAAGAACCTAGCTTCAGTTCAACTTTACACGATATCTCAATGCGGGTAAGTCCTCGAGTTAGAAAGACTTATTTAGACTTTACGCCTAAAAGAAAGAAAATACAAAAATCAGAAAACGATGTTTATGTTAGTCCTAGTACAGGCAATACTCTTCATGTACTGGAAAACGCTGAATACGGACTTGCAACTCCTATCCGCAAATATTATAATTTACGAAAAGAAACCCCAGTAACTCCGAACGTATCAAATCTTACAAGCAGGACTAGTTCAATTAGTGACATTTCATCATATTATGCCCACTATCCAACGAGGAAATTTATGCAATATATGACACCCAAACGCAGAATAATCAAAGTTCATTGACAAATTTGAATATTTCTACAATTTATGGTAAAGATTTAAATCCAGATGCATCTAATAACAATTGTACTCCCAACCCTTCCGAGAAAATCTGTGAAATATATGACACTCAAACGCAAAATGAACAAAGTTCATTAACATATTTGTATATTCCTGCAAATTCTGCTAAAGATTTTGAACCCGATTCATCTGATGATAGTTATGCTCCCAACTCGTCTGACCTAGAAACTGATTCTTCTTACTCCGACGATAGTGATGGTGATGATAGCGTAATAACTTACTATGAAAACAGTTCTGAAACCGAATTAGTTCAAATACTTGAAAATACTCAATGTACAGAAAACAATAATTTTGACGAGTGGGAAGACATTAACGATACGAAACCTGATTTCGATGAATTCACAGATAATTGTAGACCAAACATTCCGGATAATACTATAACGCCAGCAGATTTTTACAGTCTATTTGTAACGGATGAAATTATTGAGCAAATGGTAATAAACACAAACAATTACGCACAAGATCTTATTAGTAATCTAAGTAATCTTAAGCCTAAATCACGCTTGCGAGCCTGGACTCCTACAACTCCAGAGGAGATGAAAAAATTTTTAGGAGTGCTACTGGCGATGGGTCTTGTAAGAATACCACGTTTAAATGATTACTGGTCGAAAAGAAACATCTACAATAATAAATACATTAGTTCAGTTATGACAAGAGATCGATTTCTGCTAATTTTGAAATTTTGGCATTTTAGTCAAGAGTCACCTAACGACACAGACAAATTGAAAAAGATAAGGGATACTTTTAATAAGATTTTAGAAAAAATGCAAACCCTTTTGGAGCCAGGTCGGTATCTTATCATAGATGAAAGTATGATTCCGTGGCGAGGGAGGTTGAAATTTCGCCAATACATTAAAAACAAGTCACACAAATATGGAGTGAAACTATATAAGCTCTGCACTCCAGAAGGATACACAAGAAACTGTATTATATATACAGGTAAAGGAGATAATGGTCGAGAAACTAATCATGGAAAGGAAACAGTATTAAGATTAATAAAAGGATTAGAAAATAATGGAAGAATAATAATAACAGATAATTTCTACAATTCCATTGATCTTGCGGAAGAACTTATACGTAAAAAGACCTTCATGTGTGGTACTCTGAGACCAAATCGGAAAGGAAATCCTAAGAAAATAA